TGGCTTCCAGAACCGAACTGGAATCACCACTGAGGTGCCAGAGAGTGTTGTTTCTGAAAGTTTCTTATGTCCTGAACCTCATTAGCTCACCAATTCCCTATGTAATCAAGAAGAAATTCATTTTGCTCCTTAAAAAATGTGTCCTTCCCAAGCCTAGGGAAGATGCTGGAAGCGGATCGGTGTCCTCACAAGCCCTGCCCGTGTGTGAGGATGTGCTTGCACTGAGCAATGCTGTTCTGCAGGTCGGGAGTTTAACTTGGCTTCATCAGATCCCACTGGATGAAAAGTCCAGCTACTTTGGAAGCAGTGAACCTGCTCCTGGAGATGATCCTCGAGGTGGTTCTGACCAAACTGTTCTCAGAGCCTTAAGTCTCGGTTGTGCTTAAAGCACTGGAATTCAAGATACACAACTCTGCAGCAGAAGCAGAAATCAAAGGTATCGAGAAATCAACCTTTTTTTAGTTTTATTTGTTAAGCAGAAAGTTTTAAAGCTTTCAGGTTTTGCAGTCACAGCTCACTGAGGCTGTAAATAATTTCAGCTGAATTAGTGGTGGTGGGAGGAGGAGGGAAGAGAAGACCCTCCCAAGGAACCTGCTGTTGCTGTGTCCTGCCTAACTGGTTGTCTCCTTGAATTTTATCCAATCCCTGCAAATTTGGGGGGGGGGGGGCTCGAAACAGCTGCATTTGGGATGGAAAACTTTTCCTGTTTAGAATGTGTGCTAATACTTGAAAAAGCTGAGCCAGATTGGGAACACCAGGCTCTTCTCCAGTTGGAAAAGAAGAGAGCATCTCATCAGAAGCACAAGCATCTGTTCAGGGTGGGGAACTGAAAGGAACTGCAGGTAACTCTTCTAACGTGGAGGTAGAACTTTAGGTACCATTATGTATTCATTTTATTGAAAGTACAAGGTGTTACTGTCAGACAAGTAACTTAATGAGGCAAAACCAGCAGTGTGATAGAAAGGTAAATAAAAATAATGAAGCTCCAAAGTGAGGCATGGGGAAATTATGGGACTTACCATGTAATCATAGAATGGCTCGGGTTGGAAGGGACCTTAAAGATCAGCCAGTTCCACCCCCCTGCCATGGGCAGGGACACCTTCCACTAGCCCAGGTTGCTCCAAGCCCTGTTCAGCCTGGTCTTGGACACTTCCAGGGATGGGGCAGCCACAGCTTCTCTGGGCAACCTGTGCCAGGGCCTGCCCACCCTCATAGGGAAGAATTCCTTCCCAATATCCCATCTAACCCTGCCCTCTGGCAGTGGGAAGCCATTCCCCCTTGTCCTGTCCCTCCAGGCTCTCGTCCAAAGTCCCTCTCCAGCTCTCCTGGAGCCCCTTTGGGCATTAGAACGGGCTCTGAGGTTTCACCAGAGCCTTCTCTTCTCCAGGCTGAACACCCCCAGCTCTCCATGTGTCCATGTGTCCATGGCAGAGGTGCTCCAGCCCTCGGAGCATCTCCGTGGCCTCCTCCAGACTTGCTCCAACAGGTCCACATCCTTATGTGAAGCGGTCGTGTCCTTCACCCTGACCTGGGGCTCTGTCCCTTCCATCAGCAGGTGTGAGCTTACCTTGAGCATTCCTGTCATACCTCCCTGCCTCAGTGTGTCTGTCCTGAGCACATGGATCGGGCTGGGAGAAGGGGGTTGGATGGCAGGGAATGTGATCCCGGTGGCGGAGGACACTGCTGTGTCACCCTGGGAGCCGGGAGCAGCCTTCTCCCCTGCTCTAATGAAGGGTGAGGCTTTTTGCCCCAGAGACCTTCCTGGAATCCCAGCTTCCCACTTGCCTTTTTCCATCTGGGAAGCACATGATGTGCTTCTGACGCTGTGCTGGGAAGGTGGACGTGTGGATTCCATGATTGAAGCCTAAAAGCCACTTTTTAATTCATCTGTGCAAAAGAGCCACAGACTTCCCTAAGACAGCTGCTGACACTTCTTCCAGATTTTGGGAGATGGTATGTTTGTGATGTCAGGAGCATTCTTAAAGTTTGTAAGTATTGTAGAGAATATTTAACTTATGATCCACCTTCTGAAAAATGTACAGAGAATGAGATTGTCTAAGAACAAGTGAAAAGAACAAATGTAGGTTATATCTGTATCTCTGTGAAAATTCGTTATCAAAGAAAAAAAACCCTTTCCTGTCCAGATTTGTGACACAGAAATGAGTTCTTTAATTAGGTTCAAATACCCCAACTGTCAAGAGGAATTTCAAGTTGAAAGGGAATGGTGCTTCTATTTTAGTGACATTAAATGAAGTGGTTAAAACAAGCACCAAAATGCTTTAATATGGTAACTCCCCTTCTGGGAAACTGGTTGATCTTTTTTTATTATTATTATTATTAACATGAATTAAAGTGGCTTAACTTTAATTCATTTCAATTTTGAGAGTTACTTCCAGGTAGCTTTGATTTATAGGGAAGAGTTTCAGTCTGAATAGTAACTATTGATAACACGGATAATTTGGTGTTCCTGTTATTTGCTAAGAGGAAAAGCAAATCTTAAAGTCAAACATTAAGGAAAATGGCATAGTGATGTGGTGTAATTTCAATGTTGCAGGAAGTTCTTCTGTTTTCTAAACACTGAATGTGTGCTGTGGTACCTCAAAAACTGGTATTTAGTACATTATTAGTATGGAAGATGTAAGGTTTTTGACTTAAGGGAGCCTCTCTAATGATTATAAAGTTATTTTTATGAGTAAGCTACTGCACTAAAATGGCAAGAACTCACCTAGAAAATTTGATGCTATATCAAATCAGTTGAGCTAAGGAAAGGTAAATGCATTCATGAACTGTTGTTCACTTGTAATTTGAAAAATAGTAAGTGTTTATATTGTTTGGCAACAAAAAAAAACATATAACAAAGTCCACGGTTACTTCTTTTTTGTTTGTTTGTTTGTTTTTCAGGAGGCTTTGAGAGTTCCATGTCCCAGCTGTTGGTGTTCTGGAGGAGCCACCTAAAGCCTCCCTCACAGTCTCAGCCAATTGTGCATCACTGTGAATGGCTCTCCTTGATTTTCATAGAGCAAGATGATGACATGTGGGAAGCTGCTAAAGCTTTATTACTCATTTATTTAAAATTGGATAGGTTAGTGTGCCTTTTTTATTTTTTTGTTTTGGACAGAGGCTGTTGTGATATAAATAACATTCCCATTGGTTACTTTTATATAAATCAAAGTTATTTTTGATAATTTAAACCCTCCAAACCTTAGGGCAGTGTAATAATGTGTGATGTAAGAGCTGATAATTTGTATAAGTCTCTTTTTTTAATTGAAGCAGGGGAGTTGTGAAACAATTTCTTACTAAATACTTTCTCATATCCTGTAATTCAGGATAATTGACTTCACACATAAAATAATGGTTAGACAGATAAAAAGCAACACTGTTTTCTTGCAACACAGAGTTAAACAAGAATGGGATATTAAACTTCAAGAATTCAAGTACTTCTGACAAAGTTTCCAAGGATTGGGCCCACAGGAATCGTAGCTACTTGATAAAAACTTAATTGCTAACAACTGAAATGTGTTCTTCATGGATTTGTTCTGGACATTCAGTGCTTCACTGTTGTTTAAATTACCAGACAAGATATTATCCTAATTTATACGAGTCCCTCAAGCTTCAAATGTGAAGATCTGGAAGTGATAGTGTCCTTCTTAGACACTTACCTAAAGTAGGCCACTCTTCCAGTGTGCTCAACATCCTGAAAGTGTTCAGGTTTACAAAAATATTGATTTAATATTATATTAAAACACAGTTGAAGTGTTGTAACCTTGATTATTCCAGGATGTTCCCTAAGGAGTAGTGCCCTTTAAGCCCTGCTTTAAGTGCTTTGGCTTCCTGAACTGTCCGATCTCCAAGCTCCACGTGCCTTCATTCTTTCTCGTTCTGATTCTTTTTGTTGTTTTTATTTTTGACAAAATTAAAAAGAGCAAGAAATACCACCTTCTGGACATGGCTGTTTTTAAAAAGAAACTTGGAAACTTCCATTTCGTTGAGTGTATTTCATGATTTACTTTCCAGGTTACGACACGATGCTGATGAAAACTTAAGCCCAAAAGAGGAGGACTCCTGGGACTCCCTGAGCCACGCAGGTGGATATAATCCACACTGCATCTTCTTATTTTGTCTGGAAAAGATTGCCTTTGATTCCTCAGTACTTCTAGATTTTTTGATTTCATCAGAAACTTGTTTTTTGGAGTACCTGGTGAGGTACTTAAAGCTTCTTGGGAGAGAGTGGCCCCGGTTCGTGGCTGTCTGTGACCACTTTGATACCAAACACAGCGCTTTTCAATCCGCGTGTCCCTCCGAGCTCCTCCACCGAGCAGAGCAAAGCCGTGGGACTGCCGAGAGTCTGCGAGACGCCGCTCGGGACCCAGCCCCACGGCCTGCGGTGCCCTTGGCTTCCTCTGCCGATTGCCGCGTGTTTACAGCTCAGCGAGGTGATAATGAAGCCGACTCTGACTCACCGATCAGCGCCGATAGCGCGGCCCTGCCCCGCTCCCTTCAAAGCCTCGTTGATTACGACAGCTCGGAGGACTCCGAGTTGGAATCAGATGGCAAGGAGTGCTGGGTAAACACAAAGCAGGTGCCTTCAAACAGTGAGGGTGAGACGACGAGAAGGGGAACAGGTTGCAGCTACACAGCTGATCACTGGAAAATCTGCACGTCTGAAGTGCTGCCTCTGGAACAGGAGGGATCTCGTCCCTCATCCTGCTGGACTCGTGTGACGTCCTTGGATAACATCATTCCCTTCAGAATAATGCTTTATAAGTCAACCAAGTGCTTGGAAGAGCTGCAACAAGCTATTTCTAGGTTGCAGAGAAGAAATCTTTTCCCATATAATCCGACTGCATTGTTGAAACTACTGAGCCACGTTGAGAAGATGAGTAAAAACATGAATTCGCAATAATCCAAAGTGTTCTGGTGGATTTTTTTTAACTAGTACACCAGGGAATATTGCCATGAGATTAATGACTTCTACAGCTCATGCCTCTTGCCCTAGTCAGTGTGTTTAACTTCAGGCAGGATAAGCATGGTTTTGGTTGACACCTTAAAAATCTACAGTTGGAGCCAGTGATATGATCCATGACCTGAGGGTCCTGGGCTATTCATGGTATGTATGGCAGTGTACAGTATAGAAGGATTAATTGTTAGGCATTCAAAATTTGATAATAAATGGCTGATGTGAAAGCATATAAAAAATACATGATACTTAAAATATTGTCAATTATACTTAATGTCCTGGTAGTGGTTTATGGACTACAGGGTGGAATTAATGCCACACTTCACAGAGTATCCCTTTGGAAGGGATCCACAGGGATCATCGAGGCATGAATGGCCTGGACAGGGATCAAACCCACAACCTTGGTGTTTTTAACACTGTGCTCTGAGCAGCTGAGCTCATCTCAGGGTCTTGACTGCTTAGAGGTTGAGCTAAATCAAATGGACAGTTTTGGTGTTTATGCTGTGTGTTCAGCATCAGTGCTTGGCTCTCAGTGCACCTTCACATGTGTATATAACTTTAATTAAAAGAAAAGGTAGACGTGAAACTAATGCCTAAATTGTCTAATTATGGAACACTTCATTGCAGGATTATATCTTAATTAAGTTTAGGTAATGCAGAAGTGCAATTCCAGCAGAATTTCCTGCATCCACTGTGCATTTCATATAAGTACAGAATGTACACTTACTACATTTTTTTAATTCAGAAAGATAATTAAAATTGAGTGCAGTGCAGTGAGATGGATATTGAAGATACTAAATTATATCTTTTTTTTTTATTAGATGTAATTTGAATAACCTGCAAAGTGAGTGTCTGAGAGTTTGCCTGAGGGGAGCAAGTTCAGAACAGGATGCAGCTCAGTGTGTGCACTTTGCAGGAAGGCACCTCATGTTGGGACATTAAAGAGCAGCTTGTAGTGATCCTGCAAGGGTTGGGCAGAGGGAAAGTACTGACAACAGGAGTGCTGGACACATCTCAGACCTCATCAGAACTGTGAGAAGGAGTTTTCCTTCTAGGATCTTCCCTTGAAGGTAAGTACTTGGTTCTCAATCAGAACAGAACATGTCCTCTCTTCCACTTAAGTAGCTATTTAGTGTTAAATTAAAATAAATACTGAGGTAAGACAAACAGTGTGTGGAGCAGATGACTGACCCACAAATCTCTGTGGCCATCTTCTAGTCTTGAGCTCTGAACTGGTGAATCAACACTATTGGCAGGGGAAGAAAACTGGGTGAGGCTTCTGGGATAATTTAGCTGGAAATGGCAGTGCTCTCCAGGGTGACTGACAGTGCTAATCCCTTGGCAGTTAGATGGGAAGGAGTGATCCTCTCCACTGGCCTGAAGGAGATCTGAATATTCTGAGTGTTCACTGCACTTTGGGTTCTTCCTGAGATAACTGTTGTGCAGAGGAGTGGGTGAGAATGTCAAGGAGTGGAACCCTCTCCATTCATGCCTTGCAGATATTTAGATAAGAACTCCCCTTGCACTTGTCCAGGTCACAGACCTGCCTGGTTCCTCTGCACTGTGTGAACTCAGCTGTGCTCTGGGTGCCGAGTTGCTCCTTTCTGTCAGGACTAAAATCCCTCTGGGCGTGTTCAAAGATGCAGCTCCAGACAACTTGGGAACTTTACAGTTCAAACATGGGAAGTGCCTTTGGCAAGGTGGTTGAGCAGGTGTTTCTCAGGATCACGACTGTAGAAGGAGGGAGGGAGGGAGGTGCATTTCAGGGAAATCTTTTCCACTATCCTCACTCCTTTTCCAATCTAGCCTTTGCTGATCAGTTTATTTAAAGTGAGCAATTCCCGTGTTTTCACTGGAGTATTCAGCATTTCTTGGTCAGTGCTTTGCCAGTTGGAAGGACCTAAATTGCAAGTGTTTCTCAGACACTGATAGGATAAGGTGGGTGGGAAAGGTAAAATGGGGAGATAGTGTTGGATAAGTCCTTGTCTTCCAGTTTATCAGTAATTACTACAACTATCTAGATGTTTTTCAAGTAAAAAGTTTAGACCTCTCAGAACAGTGTGTAGAATTTAGCAAGAAATGTAGGAGCCACAGCTTGATTTTTTTAATGCAGCAAATTCAGTTGCAATCCAAGTGTGTGTAATTCTTACAGGCTGTTTGTGTGCCCAGCTGGTTATTAGTAATGATCATTCCCACATGTTTCCCTTCTCAGAAAGCCATTGTTTCAATTCTCAGGATGTCTCAGTGGTGAAAGTGGGTAAATGTGGTTTCTGTCTGGCAACTAGATACCTTAATGTGTTGATATTTTACCATTTATGAACTGTAGGAGCTGAGGTGGAGTTAAATCAATGTGAGTCAAGTTGTTTTTTATTGTACATAAAAGGAGTGTGAGCCATGAAGGTGGGTATTAGTTCTATGGCTGTATTCAAAAAGCCAAGCACAAAGAAAGCACCTTGCAAAAGGATTTGTTTTAATCCATTGGTGACTTTATAAGGTGGAGTGGTTGGGGGTTTTGTACAACCTAAAAGCTGTTATTTCACTGCTAGAACAAATTAATTCAGCTGCAGAACGTATTACCACTGTAAATATTAGGAATTAGGTCACTGATTACTAAGAGATTGATGTGCCTTACCTTTGTATATTGATATCTCTCAACTTTCCTTGTATTATGTCAAAGCAAGACACAGGACAAATCAGGTGGCCTGTGTAGAGACAAGTTTTCTATGGGAGGACTTACTCTGAAACATCCCCAGTCCCCATATTTGCTGTTGTTTTGAGGATTTTTATCTTCCACATCAACAGAATAAATTATGCTTTAATAAGCTAAGCAGTTGGCACTAGAAGTTGCTTACAGGATGTGCTTTTTAAAAAGAATATTTTCTAACTTGGATGTTTCTAGAGCTTGATTGCAGCAGTTACAGCTGAATCCAGGTTGTGGTTCTTCAAACTGGATTTTCTCCAATAATTTTATGACTGCTTTCCATTCTACTTTTAGGACTTGTAGTACAAGTTTTAATCCTGTAATACAAGAATAAAAACCAACCTTGGGAATTTCTATACTTATGATAGCCTTGTAAAGCTGGGAATAAGGGGCCTTGGTTGTTCCCTGGTTTATCACTGCAGGATAAGCTTTGTTTGTACTTCTTCCAGAGTCAGTGTGGGATGGTGTCTGAGGTCACAATCAGGGATTTATCAGTGCCTGTAGGAGTGAAAATATTGTGGTCATTACAGCGTTGCTTCTCTGTATTTTCCCTTGGAGTTGTCCAGAGGAGTTTGTAAATTCTGGATCTATTTTGTACAACTCCTTTAGGCCACCTGGTTGACTCTGATGCCTTGTTGGAAGCCAGCAGTGTGTGTCAGAGTGGATAACAGGCAGCCTTCCACTGTCACCAGCTCAGCAGCAGGCACGGCCCTGGACTTGCTTGAGAAACATCTCAGGGATTTAAGCTTTTCCTAGCCATTATCTTCTTAAATGTTGTGTAAATGAATTTATTGCTGTTAACTGTCAGAGGTGCTCTTTAGTAGAGAGCTGGCTGGCTGCTGGCTCACGGTGGAAGGAATACAAGAATATATTTTCTGGCAAAAATCTTGCATGGAGAATTTACAATATCCTTCGTTATTGCTGGTTCCTGCTTTCCAAAACATGAGTTTTGTCAGTCAGCAGTGTCCTTTTAGGAGGAAGATTGGAAAAGAATGTGAAATGTCTGAAAGTAGCACACACAACCTCTAAAGTGAGCAGTGCTGAATGTTGGCTCCCTGAAAGTTTGGAGGGAAGGTTTCCATGTACACATCCTGAAATTCTGTCAGGAGTTGTAGCTGCCAATTGGAGTTGTCCAAGGATCTGTCCCATCTGTCCTGGTGCTCAAGAGTTGAAACCTGATCACTTTTTATGGAGTTTAGAGGAAGTTCCAAATGCCCATGGCTAATTAGAAGGAAGAAGTAGCTACATATTAAAAAATGAATAATAATTTCAAGTCCATTTTGCAACAATAGAGTATACTGATCAAGTAAAAAAGATGTGTTGTCAAATGACAAAATCCTGTGTCCTTATTTCTTTGCTTGCTGATTTTTATCTTCAAATGTAACCTTCAAATGGGTTTGTCAGCTCTTAGAACAACTTTGTCACTGCAGACCTTTTAGGGCTCTTTTCCTTTGGGGTTTAACTGAAAGAGAAATTAATGTTTTCTGGAAACTTACCTGCAGTACTTGGTTTCCTTGATGGTATTTATATACTTCGAGAAAATCATGTGTGAAAGCAGCATTCTCTTTCTGTGAGAGGTGGGTGAAGATCCATTGAACAGCAAATGTAAAACTCAACCAGGATTTTTAAAAATTATTTATCTCCTTGAATGAAAATCCAGTACATGGTCACCTTCACTGATCCCTCTAAAGGAGTATTTCTTCACCTCAGCTAAAATTATTGACCAGCATGATGCCCATATTTCCCGGAGTTGTCATTGAGGAGCTGCTGCAGAGGTGGGAACTGCTGGGTGTGAAGCCTTTCAGTTTAACCAAGCAAATGCTTGTGTTTTGTGTTCTCTGTGGGTGGACTGGAGATTGATGGCTCTGAGAGTGTCCCAGTAATGTAATCAAATGTTTGCAGCATTGTCCTACCTGCAAGTGTTACAAATTGTTGAGGTTTGTTTTCATACAGTTGTTAAACCAGTGCTTCCAGCTCCAAGGACCAACAAGGCATCTTTTTTTTTTTTTTTTTAATCCTGTGTTATTTGGACTGTTGGAAACAAATTAAGAAACTCTCTGAATTGATTGGATTAATTGATAAATCTCTTGGTGTTGCAGCCTGAAAATTGTGTGTGTTACTCTCCTGCATCTTAAGATAGGAGTGTGATTTGGGGGAATACAGTATCTGGAGTGGAAAGGGTGAATTATAGAGTCAATCCTTATATATATATATATATTTGGGGGTTTTTTTGCTTTGTAAGCACCCAGAGTTACTCTTCTTGGAACAAACTCAGTGCAAGTACCTTCTGTAGCTGTGCAGTTATCTCTGAATTGCTCTGGACTTTCTGGTTACTGGAAGTGGGGATTTGGCAAGTATGGACAAGTTGATTGCTAAATTGAGGGGAAAGAAAAAAAAACCTCCTCACCAAGGATAATTTCAAGACAAAGCAGGACCAGGGTTTTGCATAAAGCAAGCCAACCAAATCACATGTCCATCTCTGTGCCTCTGGGTATGAGGGGATTGTTCCTTCCTGTCCGGGAGTGTTATTGATACACAGTGTGTTGAGGATTTAAATTAAACACAGCCAAGGCTTTGGGACTTGAAAGAGGGAGTGTGATTGTGGTGCTCCTGCCCCTCAGTTGGGTGTGTGAGAGAAGCTGGTTTGAAGGCAGTCCCCAGGTACTATCAATGTCTTTTCCTGGAGCCTTTTTCCTCAGGCATATCCGAAGCCTGTGGCAGCAGGGATCAACAGCAGAGTGTGTTGGTGTTCCTTCCCTTCCCTTTCTCCTTCCAGGATTGCTGTTGACATCCTCTCTTTATCCAGTTGTCATCTTCCTTCTTATTGTTAAAGCCCGTATTGTCAAAGTATTAATTTTCTAATTCTGATTAAAGTTCATGGGAATTAAATTCTGAAACAATGATTTGAAAAGATTGGAGAGTTTAGAAGATTTCAACCCGTGTGTTCAAATCATGTCTCCTCCTGATTAAGCCCTGCACTGGCATTCATGGGTGATAAATATTTATTACCTTAATGCTTGCTGTGTTCAAAATCAGGTTTCTAGCCTTCAGTTATGACAGGTGGCATTACTAATTAATTAATGACGAAGCCACTCCTTAATGAACATCTCCCTGTAAGGATCTGGATTATGAGTCAGGCCATACTGGTAAGAAAGGGCTTGAGGAAAAAGCTTTTTGAGAGATGGTAAATAAGACTTTTCCATCCCTTTTTATGTAGGGAAAGCTTGGTATATTAGGAGAAGGTAGGAATTCCTGGGGAAAGGAGCTTGTTTTTTAAACTACAGATTGCAAGGTCGTGAGTTATGGTATGAATGTCCTCGGAATGATTAATTTTCAGGTATTTATTGAGTCTTGAGGAATAAAAAAATA